TTTGAAATATTTGGAAGCACTTGTTTCCCACTGCATCTTATGTACACCTATATACATAAGGCATTTTAATCAGTCTTAGCATAAACATGTAGACTACTATCTTAACATCTGTGGCTTGGCTGCTGTTTTTCAGTGGTGAGCTGTCTGATATTTGAGGTCATTTTCACTGTCAAGACAAACAAAAGTTATGTGTATTTTTATTTTGGAAGGAGGGATGAGATCTGACAATCTTGCATAAAGGTTTTGATATTTAGCTTATACATAATAGTGACTAAAAATAAAAAATAAACTATTTGTTTTGTCAAATAACATGAAGAGGAAAAAGACAAATGTAAGGTAGCTCAACTTCTCTTTCCTGTAAACTTTTCTGTGCATGTCAGCATCAGCAATTTGAGCAAAACAGGAAAAAAACAACAAAAAAAACCACCCCTCCTCTTTATACTGACATCACCCTCACTACACAGTTCAGTTAGAGACATTGCAGCGCTGCAGTCGTACACACCATGAAGACCTTCACCTTGATAACAGCTTTACTTCTCTGCAGCTTCAGTGAGTACTGACACTCAATTACTCTATTACATTTAGATCTATGGTGACTCTGACCCACCAGAGTTTTAAACTTCCACATTAGAGCTGAATGAATTGTTGCTGTTGCTTTATTCCAGTAACTGTTACATTATACACTCAGAGATAAAACTCTTGTTGTGTCTGCTGTTTGTTTCAGGCTGGATCTCTGTCTCAGTATCTCAGTCTCAGACTGTGGACGTCTGTTATGACCGGGTCTCGCAGCAACGTTCATACTGTGATGGATATAATTTGAAATGAGCTCCAACACCTCCACCCTCTTTCTCAAATCAAACAAGTGGATTTATCAGACTCTGGACTGTATTTTTGTGGATTTTAAACAAGTGGATGTCTGATTTTCAGTGTAATATACTTAGGTGAGATTCCTGTAAATGATTCTTTATTTTGGTTCCTTTCTTGGTTGTTTTCTCTGACACGATCTGTCGCAGCATCCTGTTGAACAGACTGAGGCCCTGGGTCTATCTGGTGCAGCTTTAGGATGGTTTTCAACTTTCGTGTCAAAGAGGAGTTCTGTGTCTCTGTGAACGACTCTCTCTTCACTTTCTTCTAGTAAGTATGGTATGCCTCAGGGATTGGTGTTGGGACCAAATTTGATTTTCTTCATACATGCTTCCCCTTGTTATACTGATGATACACAGATGTACCTGCCTGTTAAACCCACAGACCCTGGAAGGCTGAGCTCACTCAATGCCAGCCTTTGATGATGTGATGTTTTCTTCAGCTGAACTCAAACAGTATCAGCACATGGTGAGACACATTCTGCCTCTGCTGGTTGCCTGGTGGAACATATCAAGCCATGTTGCAGGGAATCTTGGCATCTGGTTTGATAGTAGTTTAAGTTTGACCATGAAGCTTGTGCAATCATGGTTTTTTATCGTCTTATAGATATTTCAAAAACAGAATTTATTTCAACTTTAAAGACACAGAGACCATCCTACACGCCTTCATCTCATCATGTCTGGATTACTACAACTGCCTTTTTACTTGCCTGAGCCGGAAACCTACTGATCGTCCCAAACTGTACAGAACTCAGCTGCAAGGTTTTCTACTAGAATCACTCCTGTTTTAGCCTCTTTATCCTGGCTCCCAGTATGTTTTAGAACTGATACTAAGCTCTTACTGATGACTTTAAGGCTTTTTGAGGCCTCTCTCCCTACTTTATCTTGGACCTTTTACTACCTTACGTGCTGGTACATACTTTGAGATCCTTGGGCAGAGGTCTTTTATCTGTTCCAGAGGCCCCAATGTTTGCAGTCAGGGCCCCACGACTTGGAAAGAAATCAGCAGACTCAGCAATTTCTTTTATTGGAGAGTCTTTCCAGATTTTCCTTGAGTTTTAACTGTTTATTCTCCTTTAAAATATTCTTTCTCTGTTGTATTTACCGACTGGTTTTCATACACCAGATTGTATCTCTTTAAACCTGATGATTTTATGGACTTGTTTCATTTTGCTGCCCTGAATCACTTTGTAACTTGGATTTTGAAAACAAGAATTATTATTATTATTATTATTATTTTTATTATTATTACAGTGCTGCTATCATTGCTGCTGTTATTGTTGATAACACATTACACATGGGCGTTACTGTCATATTTTCACTATAACCAACACACACACACACACACAACACACACACACACACACACACACACATCCACACACATCTGTCAGCTCTGTCTGTGTCTTCAAACGCACTTCGTCTGCTGTCTAATGTATCTGTCTGCTGTATTCATGTAGGAACGGAGAGTTGGTGTACGGATTTCCTGCAGAGGATTCCCTCCCGTTTTCCTGGTGCTCCTTCACCGAACACCTCCATGTCACTGTAAGTCAGCCTGACCGGCTCATGATTTCATGACCACAGCGAAAGTCAAATGACAGTCACCTTATGTGTCATTTTTTGCAGCTTCGAGTGTCTGTTATCTGTCGATCGAGACACCGCCAACTTTTATCTCTTCAACTATTATTGTGCTTCTTCCATGCTTTCCCACAGAAAGAGAAAGAGTGAGATCCAGCAGGATGAAGCCGGCCATACATCAAGAAGCCGCCCAACGCCTTCATGCTCTTCAGGAAGGAGCAGAGGCGAAGGTTGTTGCAGAGCTGAACAACAACAATAACGCGACAGTGAATACTGTCATTGGACAGAGGGTAAGTGCTTTGCTCTGTGTGATTTGAGACACTTCGTCCAGTTTCCTGCAGTGAATTTTATTCTTTAATATATATCATTCTTTCTTGAAACAGAATGATTTATATTTCCTGTCATGTGACCCGGAAAACAAGTCTACATTTAAACAGGATTTCCAGCATTTTATTTTGAACAATACCACTGCACCTATTCACGTGGATCTGTGTGTTTTCCGTTAACATGTTGTCATGCTTGTGTTTTTGCACCAAGGCGCTGTAGTTGTGTGTAGTGTGTGCTGCTGTTGTGTTGCTGACAGTGTGTCGTCGTGCGTCCGCAGTGGAAGTCGATGTCGAAGGAGGAGCAGGCCAAGTACCATGCAGGAGGCAGAGAAGGAGAGGACGCTCCACTCCCAGCAGTTCCCAGACTGGTCCTGCCAGTTGACAATTATGTATGTTACACCGTGCTCACATAACTACTCAAACATGTCTACATCACCATGGAAATTTTTAATTGTGTTGTTTTTGTGTAGGGCAAAAAGGAAGAGAGGTGAGGAGGGAAAGCTCACACCACAAGCCGATGGTAGAGACAATGTTTCTGTGATCACAGTGCGCTCTCATGTGACATGTGATAAATACGACAGAAATTGTGATGTTTTTGAAATAGAAATTCGTGATTCTATTCGACATCGGTACCAAAAATAGGGATGGATACCACAGCATTTTATAATTATCTTACCTTCACACACACTTAAAAATTGATCTTACTCTTCTACAAGAAAATATCATGTAATTTGACTAAAATTTGACAAAAGCCATCGGTCAAAAAACCTGCTAAGACCCGCTAACATCAGGCTTTTGTCAGCAATGGAAAAGGGAACAATCAACATTCACAGCTGGGTCAAATTACTCTGCAGTAGTCACAGGTATTTATCAGCTCGGCTCCCATCAGTCTTGATGTAAACACAACACCTGGGTGAACCCGCTAATGTTCAACCCTTCCCCTGCTGTAACACCTCAGACCACAAACACTGGCAATGGAGGCCCTGACAGTTTGACAGGAGCACCCACCCGGGGATGAGATACAACAGATGCCTTTTTCTCTTTCTCTCTCGTTTCACTCTCTCCCCTGTGTCTTGTTTCACTGGTCTGACAATAGAAAGGAAAAAAATGTAAATGAGAACAGCTTTATTGGGAATTTGGCTGCATTAAAATACTGTGTATGTGGGCACCGACAGTAGAAGGGGAGCAAACATAAAGGTCTGAAGGACGGTGGCCCTAAGAAATCAGCGCACTGAAACTTAAGAAAAACATGTGCAAATTCAGAAAACATCATCAATTTGACAAACACATCTGTTGCAAATACTCACAACACAACCAATGAGTTAAAAATGCTGCAAGTAGCACAAATGACCACGGAAGTGTTAACAGGGACATAAAAAAAGTGATGAACCTGGCTGGGACACGGTTGTTGTTTCCAAGGGATGTAAAAAAGTGATGAACCCAGCTGGGATGCACTTTTTATAAAATGCTTTTAACTTTAAAAGTCACAAAGCATTAAACAACTTGTGCATCCCAGCCAGGTTTATTGTCGTCTGTGCTACTTGCAGCCCGTTTCTACACTTGCATGTGTTGTGTGTATTTGCAGAACATGTGTTGTGGTATTGATGATGTTTTCTGAATTTGCTTGTTTTGTCTATTTGCATGTGTTTTCTTAAGTTGCAGTGCGTTGAGCTCTCGGGCCACCGCACTGAAACCTACGGAGAATGCATATAGTCTATGAAGCGGTTAAGTAGTCCTTGTTAAGTAACCTGCAGTAGCATTGAGAAGACAGTGAACCGTCACAGTGGAGATGGATGGGACCTGCACCTGTTGTAGTTTTGCTGTGGTGTGTCATGTGTTAAATCTCTACAGTTTCGAGCAGAGTGAACGGTTTCATTTGAGGCTGTACAAGTGTCAAGTTGCTTCAGGCGTGTTTTCACAAGTTCATACACGTTAATACACATTGTGAAGATAAACTATTGGTGTGAGTTTGTCAGAAGTGTGAAGACGCACATAGATATCTCACTAATGCACACAGTGCTTCTTGTAACCACAGTGCACCGTGGAACTCTGGGTATGTGATGTGTGCAACCATCAATACAACAATCATTCTTCTTTGGGTAAATTTTAGTTTTTAATTCAGACATGTAGAACATTAATATCACAGTTAAAATATCCAGTTTTTACATTGATGTTTTGCCACAGTGTTTATAGAAATGTGGAACTTGATCACTGCGTCTATTTGACAGGGAAAGTCACCCAGGATTCACTGCTTCATTTCTGACTTCATTCATACAGAACTCTGACTCCACAGGGCTCCTGATTTTCATTTTGGTCGAGCTCAGACTAGAGATGTTCCGATACCGTTTTTTCCTTCCCAATATCAAAACCTGAATTTACCATAACGGCTGTATGGCACTGATTGCTGTCATTGTTGAATGCCATATTAATTATTTTTTGTAATGTCTAATTTGACTAAATAAATTAATAAATGTAGGCATAGATAACAATTCCTACAATAGTTGTCCTAACACTAGTGCTGCCCCTATTAAAAGAAATTAAAGCTTTGTATACTGCACATGTTGCCCTCTTACTGAGACAGTTTGACTCTTATCAGAATATTGAATAAGCGTTATCATTACACATCTGTCCCATATGTATAGGCAAGTAGGGAACTAACCATGTTATCACCCATAACACAGGTTACTTTGGCTAACCGACAACGTATCGGAACAACTGTAGCTCAGCCTACACTGTGCTGTCTCAGTAATTTAGGAAGACAGAGTGAGAGAGAGACATGAGAAGAAAAGCACAGAAACATGATAAAAGAATCAGATCCACTCTGAGTCTATCTGCTGGCACAGTAAAAAACACGAGTCTCCACTTCTCTCTCTGATGCAGGCCTCCCGTTTCTCATCGTTCGTGAATACACACTCAGTGCTGCATCGTTCACTTTCGAGTCCAGACTCTGTCAATAAGAGTCCACACAGTTACACAGGCCGAAAAAATCATAATCACGTCGACATTCTCCCACTTTTAAAGGGGCTATTCTTAAGTTTTCTCTGCTGCCAAATGTGGTTTCCTGCCAGGAGCGGGTGGGGTGGTGATTGTTGTCTTTATAATACAAGAGGCTATGATAAGCCCTCTGAACAGCGCCTCGTCTTCAGAGCAGATACAGTGAGTTGCTACTGGAAGTGACAAAACGGGCCGGGGCTAGCTGGTTAGCGTGCTAACTTCAGTAGAAGAAAAGATGTGATAGAGTTAACATTGGTGTTGCTTTCCACCGCTGGAGACAGCTCTTGGTGAGTAAAGTACTGAAGTTTGATGCTGAACTCACAACGTTTCTTCTAGACTGATAAGTAAACAACTGTTAATGCTAACGCTGGTTATGTAGAAAAAGCAAAACTTACAAATAGCTCCTTTAATGTATTAAATCATAACAATAAATGATAACTCTTGTTTTACCTTACGTCGCTGTGGTTCCTCAATGACAGCTGAATTTAAGAAAGAATGCAGCTCATCAGTTCATTTTCTTTTAAGTTTGATGTCATTACATTTTGGCCAAAAGCAGTTTTGTAGTTTTTCATCACGCTGACACACATTATTGCAGAATGTATAAAAACAATAATCTGTAAATCAAACATGCAATTTTTGTTAAGTACCTGCCCAAGGTTTCGTGAATTTAAGAACAAGGCCGATGATGATCACAAGGAAACCAGTCAGAACACCCAGGATCACGTTCATCAGCTTGGTTACTCCATCAGCCTCTGGAAAAGAAAAGTAATATATAACATGCTTCTTTTTTTTCCTATACTGGCATGAGAACTTGTAAACTTTACTTTGAGACTTCCTGTCAGTGTCATCATGAGATTTATGTTTTCAACAAACTAAAATGAATGTCATTTTATTGAATTGGATAGAGGGATGGATACCACAGCATTTTATAATTATCTTACCTTCACACACACTTAAAAATTGATCTTACTTTCTACAAGAAAATATCATGTAATTTGACTAAAATTTGACAAAAGCCATCGGTCAAAAAACCTGCTAAGACCCGCTAACATCAGGCTTTTGTCAGCAATGGAAAAGGGAACAATCAACATTCACAGCTGGGTCAAATTACTCTGCAGTAGTCACAGGTATTTATC